TATTTCATGATGTATTAATTTATACTGTTCATATATATATATATATATATATATATATATATATATATATATATAGTGGATCTCTACTCCATGAAAGAAATCTGCGTACAAAGTTTCAAGGCTGTACGTCTAATAGCAGAAATGTAGAAATAATTATCAATAATGTCCGTTAAATCTCCACGTAACGATTTTCACAAAACCCATTTTGTAGCTGATCTCTATTCCATGAAAGGAATCGGTCTACCAAATTTCAAGTAAATAAGTTTAATAGTTCTGGAGATATCGTGATGAGTGAGTGTGAGTCTCTTTTTTTCTTTTATATATACAAATGCAAGTAAAGTTTTCAATAGATAAACTGCTGTTTGTAAGAAATGCAACACCATGAAGGAATCATCAGAATTAAATGTAGAATGTGAAATGAATCTTAATGCACAAACGACTTGTATTAGAACAAATAAATGACGAAATCTTCAAAGCAAAAAAAAAAAACAATATTAAATGTCTGAAATCAGTATTTGGTGTAGCCACCACGGGCTGCAAAAAGTGCTGCTATACGACGTCGCATGGAGTCAAACAGCTTTTGAATGTCTGCTTGTGGAAGAGAATTCCATATTGCTTGTATGCGCAGCAAAAGTTGTCTTTTGAAGCTGCAGGACGCGGATCACGAGCAAGACGCCGATCAACCAAATCCCACACCAGCTCAATAGGCGATATATCCGGCGAATAAACAGGCCAAGGAAGAAATTCCATTTGTTGGGCTGAACAGAAGTTAGATAGTTTTTTTCAATATGTGGGCGTGTATTATCCTGCTGAAAGATAGCTCCAAGGATGACTTGAAGGAAGGGAACGACTTCGGGCTGTAGCACTTCACTGTTGCTATTGAGATTACCCTCAATTAGTAGCAAATCGGATCGTCCATGATACGAAATCGCACCCCAATCTATAATTCCGGGTGTTAGACCACTATGTCGTACGATAACGCACTCTGGAAAGCAACGTTCACCAGCATAACGTCTTACACGAATGCGGCCATCATGATGCCATAAATTGAAGCGTGATTCATCTAAAAAGATAAATTGGTGCCAATCAGCTTGCCAGGCTCTGTGATCAAGAATCCATTGCAGACGCAGCCGTCGATGATTTTCCGTGAGGGGTATCCTGTATAAAGGGCTCCTTGCACGCAATCCACGGTGCAGCAGACGTCGACGAATTGACGAAGTTGACTCTAGTACACCTGTAGCAGTAGACCAACGTGCTGACAATTGCCTGGAGGAAGCTGTACGATCATTCACCGCCATTCGGTGCAGGTGTCGATCATCGCACTCTGACGTCACCTACTGTTGTCCACTGCCAGCTTTTCGAGTTGTTCAGTGTTCGTCGGTCCACTGATTCCAAACTCGGATCACTGTGGTACTGTTCCGCTGCACACGAGCTCCTATTACGTGATAGAAAAATCCCCCTTCTCTAAGGCCGTTAATTTTCTATCCCCTCAAGGCCATACTCAGATCTCACTAAGCGTTCTCCACTAACAAATAATCATTAACTATTTTCTATGACCCACTACATCCCTCTATATATACGCTTTCGGTATCAGTTCCGAAGGCGCCACGCATGCGCGGTGGCTCTGAAAACTTTACTATTTTACGTAACATCCTATAATTGATATTTGATGCAAAGTTCATTTAATTCTGATGGTCATCTGATGATAATCCTTCATGGTGTTGTATTTTTTACAAACAGCAGTGTAAACAAAAAAGAGAAAGAGGAACAATAATTTTTGTAGGCAAAATTATTTCTTTAAATAATACATAGAGGCAAATGTCTGAAGAGCCGAAAACGCCTACCCTAAGAGCTGTATGTGACTCGCAAGTCGCGGGTGGCCGACCCCTGGGTTATTAGTTCGAATCTTGATTTCATCAAGATCCATTGTTTAGAAAGAAAAGGCCAATTGCATGTTAAATTGAACTGAGTCTCAAAGGCCACATGGGGGGTCAAACTGCTTTGTGCCGCTCTAGTGTAATAATAATACAAAATGTTATTTTTTTTAAAAAAAGTTATTAATATTACTTGCATGGATAATTTCTTTCTTTTTTTTTTTCAATCTTTCGAGCTTGCCAATTATTTTTTTTGTGTGTGTTTAACGTATTTATTTGTTTTATTAATAAAACCCTATTATCCAAATTTTGTTTTCCGAAAATACATTATAAAAGAAATAAAATAAAATTAAATTTATTAAAAAATCTAGACTATAGTTTTCAAGATTATTTTTTGATTATTTTGCCTAAATTGTTTTATTGAAAACTTCACTATATAGAGTATTTTCTTCCTTATTTAGTAAGAAAATTTTTTACTCCTAAAAATTTACTGTTAATTTTCACTGTTAGTATTTAAAAAAAAAACTGGAAAATATTAAAGTAAAATTAAATTTAGGGCTAAAATTATAGAATAAACTGCATTATTATAAATGGCAATTATAATAAAATAACCATTATAGCCACCAATGATGTATTGAAAAAAATTCTTAAGCCCTTCCCCTCTTAGTTTAAAAAGAACTTGAATTTCTAAGATTGAAGTCGATTTTTAACGCCCCTGAAACTCCTCTAGGGAGTTGGTTTCCTTAAACCCGTTCTTGGAGAATCTCTATTATGAAAAAAAAAACCCACCCAAGCTTATTAAATTTTAAGTTTATAGGTCTAATAGTTCAGAAACGAATATTTCTTTATACATCACAGCCAAATCTTTATTGTCGATTTTTGTAAAACCTGTTCTTAGCGAATCTCTACTCAACGAAAGAAACATGCTTGCAAAATTTAATATCTGTAGGTCTAATGGTTCGGGAGATCTCGTGATGAGTGTGAGTGAATAGCGTTTCTTCTTTATTGTAATAAATTACAAAACAATAAATAATATACAAAAAGTTAATAAAATACGCATAATCTCTCTGTATAAAAATGGATGTTTGTATATATGACCTCACTTCACTTCGATACCGTTTACCCGATCACTATGAAAATTGGCATGCATATGCATTTTTTTGGGATATATTCTTTGTTGCAGCTCCCCACCAGGTGACGCAACAATATATCAACTTCTGCATCGTTCAATCAATTGCCAAGTTGCCAACTTGACTCTATCGCCAACATTTCGCTATGTTTCCATTGAATCACCATTATAATTTAAGAAACGGTGTTGCTTGCGAATCTAACAATTTTAACATAAAATAAATACAACAGAAAGTAATATTAACGTATTACACATCCAGGTAAAAATTTTTTCCACTATTTTAAGCTTTCATTACATAAAATTTGTAACAATGTGTTGCTTTTGCTGAGCAGAGATCAGCTTAGGAAGGTGTTTTCAGCAAGAGTTACGGGGTGCTGTAAATAAAAAAAAAAAATCATTTTTATCATCTTTTCGATTTACAGACATAAAATGCAATCAATATGGGGTTTTTTTGTTTAGCTGAGATATGCAAAAACTTTTTTTTGTTTAATTAACAGTTCACGTAAAATTAACTCACTAAAAGCTTCTTTATCCTTCAGTTTGTATTGTTTAATTTTTCAATTCACCCGCGCGAAGAACGGGTATATCAGCTAGTATTAATATAAAAGTTATATAGTAAAATCATGTAATTGGTTATTCACTTATGTTTTCAATAATTAAAACAACTGAAATAAAAAAAAGAAAAATTGCATTTAAGACTGTTAAAATATCGCAACCATAAGCAAGCAGGCAATCAAACTTTGTCGTATTTTAGTTGAACTACTTTGGAACACTTAACAAACGAAATGTATTGCAGAATTTCGAACAATAAAAAAAGAATTCTGCACGCTTGCCTGAATCGTCGAACGGTTTTCATTTCACAACTTCTTGACTTGCCTTTCATTTTACTTTTAACTAATGTCTGGAACGAAATGCTTAATAGTCCCCAACAAGTTCTTAAGAGACAAATTAGCTCTCATTTGTTTCTAATTTCACAGCAAGCAACGCTCTCTTAAAAAAGGGTATTTTTTCAACCTAGATTTCATATCTGATCTAATTTTATGCACAAGCAGATCTCACAGTTTCACGTGAGTTGCTATGGTTACGAAGAAATGTATAAATTCAGTTTTGATGATCTTTTGGGGTGAAAAAGCGCAGATAATATGTTGCCCTACTTAGAACTCATTTGTCTTAATTTTCAAAGTAGCTATTCTAGGTTCGTTTTTTCAAGGTATAATTTAAAGTAATCTCATAAAAAAACATGAAATGCTTATTTTTCAAGCAGTATTAATTTGTAGCAATTTGTATAAGTATAAAGCAAAGATTTTGAAATGTTTTGTGTTTATCATATTGTGAAAACATAGAAGAATTGAAGGTCTTTGACCGGCTTTTCTCAGAAATGATGAAAAGTTTTATTTCCACGTTCATTAAATAAAATTATATTTTAAAAATGAATAAAATTCTTAGTACAGAATTCAGTTTATATAATGTAAGAATAAATTCTACTTTAATACATTAAGTTCCTTTTCGTAAGAAAACAAAAATTATTTAAAAATTAATTTTTTAATAAATTGAATTAAAGTTTTAAAAATAAATATTCTTGTAAAGAATGTGTGAGTGCTTAAAATTATAATTATGAAAATCATGAGAATAGGTTGTTTTAAAAAGACCTTTGCTATTTTTAATGCAGAATTTAAAATAAAAATTATTTAAATTTACGTTTTGAAATTTAATGAAAATTTAACAAAACTTATCACTTCCGTTTTTTCCCCTGAAAGAGCTATTGTTATAAATTGAACCGGTACTGGTTTTTTTCCTTTACATTTTTAATGAATTTTTACACTTTGCAAGTGACTTCAAAAGTCGTTTTGATAAACTTTTATTTTTCATTTTGTTTGTTCAGCATAGAATGTAATTCTTTTAAAAGCGTTTTTATATTGCCTTTATACAAAATAGAATACATAATACAAAGTTTTAAGTATCAAACGCGACGCGCAGTTTTAAAAATTACAGGAAGTCACCGAAGTTAAGCATCATCGGGCGCGGTTAGTACTTGGGAGGGTGACCACCTGGGAACACTGCGTGCCGTTGGCATATTTCATTTTAATTTAATTTTTAAAATATGTTTGTGTATTTTTTAAAGAAAACGGTTTGAACTGGTCAAAGAATTCGTTTCTTTTGTATTCTTTGATTGTATAATTTATTTAAAAAAATAAAAGTCATGTTTGCGGTCAGTGTTTGACCAATGGCTAAGCAAGCGTGTAATTGTCCTGTGTTGGGACTGAAGATGTCGAAGAATTTCTGGTATCTTACTGTTTAGTCCACTCCACTTCCCATTGTTTCCATTGTCAGTGCTTCACTATATAGCTGCTCCCATTTAGCTCTTTAACTCAAGTTGTCATCCGATATTTGGGTGCGGGAAAAAGGAGCTCTGCAATCATTCATCGTATTCTGGAACCTGTTCTCAATTATTCCGCCACAAACTAATTGCGAACAGCTTCCCAGCCTTCGTCCGCAAGAAATTTTTCCTTTTTTACGACAAGTGGTAAAAAGAAAATTTCTGCGGTAAATTCCTGTCGTCGAATGTGGAAGAATAAATGCTATGAACACTTATTTATGCCTTAGGTAGTAAGAGTAATTATTATTTTTTCCTTCTATTTATCCTTATTTTTTTAAAAAAAAATGTGATGTCTCTATTTTTCATTATTTTTATTTTTTTTTTTTTTAATGATTTTTTAATTTTATTTATTGTTAGATTCATGTCGAAACATATGTAATGATAGAATTAATTAATTAAAATTGCGAATAACAGGAAACGAATGACATGCTTGTAGTTAGAAAAACAAATTGCGCAATTTATCAGATTGAGAGGAAAGGGGGATATTTATTGCCTTTTCCTTCTCCTTTTCCCTGCTTGATGGATGTGAGGGTGTATATCGGTCATTGCTCTTTTTATTTATAACTGTTATAATTCGCGTACATAAATAAGAGAGCGTATGGGTTGTAAATCTTGTTTTCGAGTGACCTTGAGTCCTTTATTTATTTATTTATTGCTTTTCTAGTTCGATTTCGAAATATTTGTTTGTTGCGATCATGAAATTTTTAGCTGTGACTTTTTTTAAATTTATGAATTGTTTTCATGCTGTTCGCAATTGCTGTAACTTGTAATTTTGTTAGGTTACATTAAATAAAAAACGTTGTTTAATATTATTTCCCATGCATTTTATTGGAATTAAACGCTCGCTTTCTGCCAACGGCCATACCATGATGAAAACACCGGTTCTCGTCCGATCACCGAAGTTAAGCATCATCGGGCGCGGTTAGTACTTGGGAGGGTGACCACCTGGGAACACTGCGTGCCGTTGGCATATTTCTTTTAATTTAATTTTTAAAATATGTTTGTGTGTTTTAAAGAAAACGGTTTGAACTGGTCAAAGAATTCGTTTCTTTTGTATTCTTTGATTGTATACTATTATTTAAAAAAAATAAAAGTCATGTTTGCGGTCAGTGTTTGACCAATGGCTAAGCAAGCGTGTAATTGTCCTGTGTTGGGACTGAAGATGTCGAAGAATTTCTGGTATCTTACTGTTTAGTCCACTCCACTTCCCATTGTTTCCATTGTCAGTGCTTCACTATATAGCTGCTCCCATTTAGCTCTTTAACTCAAGTTGTCATCCGATATTTGGGTGCGGGAAAAAGGAGCTCTGCAATCATTCATCGTATTCTGGAACCTGTTCTCAATTATTCCGCCACAAACTAATTGCGAACAGCTTCCCAGCCTTCGTCCGCAAGAAATTTTTCCTTTTTTACGACAAGTGGTAAAAAGAAAATTTCTGCGGTAAATTCCTGTCGTCGAATGTGGAAGAATAAATGCTATGAACACTTATTTATGCCTTAGGTAGTAAGAGTAATTATTATTTTTTCCTTCTATTTATCCTTATTTTTTTTTAAAAAAATGTCATGTCTCTATTTTTCATTATTTTTATTTTTTTAAATGATTTTTTAATTTTATTTATTGTTAGATTCATGTCGAAACATATGTAATGATAGAATTAATTAATTAAAATTGCGAATAACAGGAAACGAATGACATGCTTGTAGTTAGAAAAAAAAACAAATTGCGCAATTTATCAGATTGAGAGGAAAGGGGGATATTTATTGCCTTTTCCTTCTCCTTTTCCCTGCTTGATGGATGTGAGGGTGTATATCGGTCATTGCTCTTTTTATTTATAACTGTTATAATTCGCGTACATAAATAAGAGAGCGTATGGGTTGTAAATCTTGTTTTCGAGTGACCTTGAGTCCTTTATTTATTTATTTATTGCTTTTCTAGTTCGATTTCGAAATATTTGTTTGTTGCGATCATGAAATTTTTAGCTGTGACTTTTTTTAAATTTATGAATTGTTTTCATGCTGTTCGCAATTGCTGTAACTTGTAATTTTGTTAGGTTACATTAAATAAAAAACGTTGTTTAATATTATTTCCCGTGCATTTTATTGGAATTAAACGCTCGCTTTCTGCCAACGGCCATACCATGATGAAAACACCGGTTCTCGTCCGATCACCGAAGTTAAGCATCATCGGGCGCGGTTAGTACTTGGGAGGGTGACCACCTGGGAACACTGCGTGCCGTTGGCATATTTCATTTTAATTTAATTTTTAAAATATGTTTGTGTATTTTTTAAAGAAAACGGTTTGAACTGGTCAAAGAATTCGTTTCTTTTGTATTCTTTGATTGTATACTATTATTTAAAAAAAAAAAGTCATGTTTGCGGTCAGTGTTTGACCAATGGCTAAGCAAGCGTGTAATTGTCCTGTGTTGGGACTGAAGATGTCGAAGAATTTCTGGTATCTTACTGTTTAGTCCACTCCACTTCCCATTGTTTCCATTGTCAGTGCTTCACTATATAGCTGCTCCCATTTAGCTCTTTAACTCAAGTTGTCATCCGATATTTGGGTGCGGGAAAAAGGAGCTCTGCAATCATTCATCGTATTCTGGAACCTGTTCTCAATTATTCCGCCACAAACTAATTGCGAACAGCTTCCCAGCCTTCGTCCGCAAGAAATTTTTCCTTTTTTACGACAAGTGGTAAAAAGAAAATTTCTGCGGTAAATTCCTGTCGTCGAATGTGGAAGAATAAATGCTATGAACACTTATTTATGCCTTAGGTAGTAAGAGTAATTATTATTTTTTCCTTCTATTTATCCTTATTAAAGTAAGTACATACAAAGAATAGATATAAAATAAGTAATAGCAAAATGAGTTTAGGAGCTCCCAAAAAAAGAAAAGATTACATAACTATAACACAGAAATTTATCAAAATAAACACAACATCAACATTATATCAAAATATCACTAGAAATATAAAATGCAAAGAAAAATAAGGGTATTTCAGATATATCAAGTACAGGTAAAAGTTCAATCAATGTGTAATGTAATGTTTCACAGTCCTGTCTTGGAAAAATCATAGTTCAATGTTCATTATCCAATTATTGTTTATCTCACAGTTCTTTTGTTTATTATTAGAATCCCTACTCAATCAACTCATTTCAAAAACATACAACCATAATAAAATCTTCATAACATCACATACTATATTTTAACTTTCAGAATATACTTATCACAAATAATCACAATGAAATTATTATAACACAATGTATCGTAAAATGACCTCATCACAATGTTTTCATACAGTCCATAATTCAGTTATTTTTTTTTTAAAATATAGTCTTCAATAATGTGTTCATTATGAATAAAGATACAATACAAATTCAATTACATTAAATTTTGATTTTCATAATGTAAAAAAGTCTTAACTTCAAATTTTAAACACAACTTTTATTATTATTATTTTTTTTACATAACAATGCACTTCTTTTAAAATTACAATGCACTTCTTCTTCCCCCAATGTTTGAGAAAACAAACTCTATAACAAATATAAATAAGAATTTAGCATAATTGGAAATTGGATTTTGAATGAAAAGGTTTTAATCGTGTAGAATGAACAATATCTGTTAATTTTCCTGTATATTGATTTGGTTTATCTATTTCATAAGTAACATTTGAGAGTTTTCTGACAACTTTAAAAGGACCATTATAAGGAGATTGAAGTTTACTTGAATTAGGGTATGAGAAATTTTTTGATATAAGACTAAATCTCCAACTTTAAATTTTGCATCAACATAATGTTTATCATACCTTTGTTTATTTATCTTATGATGCTTAATTGTTCTGTTTACTGCAATTTGTCTAGCTTGTTGTATAGGTGGATAGTTTAATTTTACTTGATTAGGTAATGGCGAATCATATGGCAAAGTTCCAAACATTAAATATGCAGGTGGAAAGCCAGTAACATCATGTGGCGAGTTATTGTATTCATATGTAACTTGTTCTAATAATTTTGTCCAAGGAGTTTTTGTAGTTGAATTAACTTTACATCTTAATTTTGCTACTAATGTCTGATTAACTCTTTCATTCTTTCCATTGCATTGTGGTCTATTTGCTGAAGTTAGTAATTGTCTAATATTATGATGTTTTTAAGAATTTCTTAAATTTAGATGAAGTGAATGCAGCATTTCTATCACTTAAAAGTTGTTTTGGGCATTGAATTGAAAAATTTGTTTTAAGCAATTTGTATAAGTTTCAGAAGTGACACTTTTGGATGGAAATGTCAAGCATATCTGGTAGCATGATCCAGAACAATATGCAGGTATTTCTTTTGTGAATTATGATAATTAAATCCTCCTACAGTGTCTAGTGAAATAATTTCAAATGGTTCTTCTGCTACAGGAACTTCTTGCAATAACCCATACTTTTTTGTGTAGACTTTTTATTCATTTGACATGTTTCACAACATTTAACAAAACTTGAAATGTCTAATATAATGTCTTTCCAGTAGTAAATTGGGGAAATTAATTTTAACATCTTTTTACACCTGGGTGACCAAATTGTTCATGTGCAGTTGTAATTAATTTTTCTCTCAAAGATGAAGGTACTACAATTTTAATTAAATTCTTTTTCTTAACTGTTAATACATCATTAATTTTTATATATTTTGGATCATTAATGTTCTCTGAATTTTGGTATT